ATGTGCTTAACGGCAAGATAAATGCATTAGAGTTTTCGGCCGAAAGTACTGTTTCGTGTCTGAGTAGGTTGTAGCTTTTGAGAGAAGAGGCTCAGGTTGACCGTCTACGACCTGCTGAAGGACAGTACCAACGGCGGTCTGTGATGCGTCAGTTGTGTGAATTAAGGATGTGTCGGCATCGGTTCCCAAATGACTAAGGACGGTAGCATTGAAACGTGTGTGTTTGATCTCGTCGAATGCTTCTATGGCTTCCGCAGTTGGTTGAAACTTACGAGACTTGCCTTTGAGTAGGTCTGTCTATAGTTGAAGGAGCCTAGAGAATTCTGGAATGCAGCGACGGTAATAGGGTACCATAACCAGAAAACGACGTATGCTTTTGAATGATTAAGGCATTGGATAGTCTGCGATGACTTGTGTCTTCACGAAAAGGGATAATACCGTCGTGATCAATTTGGTGGCCAAGAAAATCAACAGATGATTGACCAGACACATAGATCGGTGTTGAGCATGATGCGAAAATGGGTGAGACGCTCGAAAGTTAAGCAAAGATGAGACAAAGGTTTTCCACGACTCGCAATATATGTAAAAACGAAACCAAGACCTCTGAGGCTTTGGTCAAGGAATGGCGGAAATGTCTGCGCGGCGTTTCGCAGACAGTAAGGCATTCAAACCTATTCGTAAAGACCAAACGGTGTAGCTATGACCGTTTTAGGTATGTCATCTGAAGCGACAGTGGCACCAGACAAGATCAATCTTGGAAAAATGGTTTTGTTATGTAAGGGGATAGAGCGCTCGTGAATATGTGGGATCGGGTACCTGTCGCGTACCGTAGCATTGTCCAGCGCACGGTGGTCTGCGCATGCCCGCCAGTCCCCTCTCGACTTTTTAGGGACCATGTAGAGAGGACATGACCATGGGTTGTCAGAGGGTCGAATAATTCCTAGACGTAGCATGTTTTCGTATTCGGCCTTGACAGTAGCGAGTTTGCCTGGTAGTAGCCGTCGAGGTTAGGCAGTGACCGGAGATCCTTTCGTGCCTATATGGTGTGCAATCTCGTGCTTGGTGTCTGGAAATTTGCTGGTGTATTGGTGAAGCACAGGAAACTGGCGCAGCAAATCTGTGAACAAGTTGTCAGTAGGTAGTATCAGTCGAAGACCGATCAAGCTGATCTATGTGACCATTTGTAAGACACGTGGAACTGTCGCGAAGCTTTCTGCAGCTCAAGTCGGCTATCAGACCAAACTTCATGAGGAAATCAGCACCAAGGATAGGACGCTGGACGGCTGCGATTAGGAAGAAGGGAAACCTTCATCTGAGTCCTAGATAAAGTGTGAGGAGTTTTTGGCCAGACGTATGGATCATAGTGTTGTTAACCGCCAGCAGAGTAATGCCGGGAGGAAAGTGGCGCCTTTAGACGCGGTGAAGTAGAAAGCTGACCTTGGCACCGGTGTCAATCAAGAAAGAGAGGTTGCTTAATGAGTCGCGAAGGTAGAGGAAGTGACTAGGAGTTTGGTCAGACATAGCCGTCACCGTTACTGCCTGACTCAGGCGTATCCCTGGGAAGCGTTGCAGAGTGATTTGGAATGAGTATATCTGCGTTGCTTCTTCCTGGCATTATCGCCAAATCGACGACGGTAATAGCAGAAATGTTGTGCTCGGTTTCTGGACAAACGGTGTCTGCTTCATGAGGACGATCTCCGACTTCTACTGACCATACGCTCTATACTCGGGATTGCGAGCCCAAGTTTGACAAACGATCACACAGTGACTCAAACGGGTCGTTCTCAGGAGCGCTGTTTGAAGAACAGCCTACCGCATGAACAGCGGGTTGATTGAAGAAACACTTGTGGATTACACTGGCAGTCTCTGCCAGCTTGTCCAAAGAGAGATCATCAGCGGACACAGCGAGAAGAGCAGTAGTGGTTGCTGGGAGACATTTGGTCCATACCTGAGGCAAAATCCCGTCATCCACTTTCGCGGATCCAACAAAAGGAACGCATGTATCATAGAAGCTGCGATGGCGTGTGACTGCCAAGCTCGACACTTGACAGTAGTTGGCGGGGTCTCGCTTCGTTGGATGCTGCTATACGCTTCAAAATGGCAGATTTCAGTTTATTATAACGTGAGGCGGTTGGGGTATGGGCGGATAAATAAGCGACATCAGCAGTAATATGCGTATGGAGGTTCGACGCAAAGTGAGAAAAGATGGTAACATGGGACCTGATACGGCGGCAGTGAAAGAGTGCTTCTAACTGTAAAAAAACAACAAGGGTGTTAGAAGCGTCGAGTGGGTGAACTAAACGACCCATAAGATTCTTGGAAGCAAAAGATGGAAGGGGCCGGAGGACATATGGACTAGCAAACGAAAAAATGGGAGTTCTGAGCTTTTAAGAAAGAAAGTTAAAAAACCAAAATTAGATTCTAAACAGGGTCACCAAATTTGTAGCAGAAAAGGACTACATAAAAAGGTTAATGAAAAGCCCAGGCAGATAGAAACAATGTCCATCTAAAGTTCCGTTGAATCTAAGTCTTCCAAATGTCCGCACCTAGTCGCATGTCTCGATAAAAACGCGATCTGAGTCAGTAAGGATTTCTCTCACTAGACACCAAACAACCACGCCGAAAAAACACGGCGAATGCATGCGCAGCCAGCCGAAGAGAGAACGCCAAACAAAATTCGATGATTTGTAGTATTGCTTCAGATAATTAAAACAACTATACAAAAAAGATAGAACAGTAAACTACAATTGAAAATAAAGCAGTTTAATGGCGCTACAGTGTCAACTGAAAGGGGTCGCAGAGTGACGACAGAGTTCGGGTCTTGTAGACGGGTTTCCGATATGTAGCAGGTATCGATCTAGCTGGTCTCTAATGTTTGGGCAGGTACTGTCTGTTGGCGGATCTATAGCAATGTGCCTACATTAAGGCATGTCAATCTGAGAGAGGATCAGAACTCCAAAGAGAAGCCGATGTACTGGGCTTGATCGCCTGGTTAGACATGGGCTTGCCGATAGAGGTTGTGTGACGCTCCGCGTTTGCATGTGAGTTTAGCCTAGAGGATAAACGCCTATCAACGCATGGTGGGTATAGTCCAGGAATTAGGTTGTCGAAAACGGGTGGATAAAAGTGAAGTTGAAACGGAACGATAAGGGCAAAATAGCCTAAGCAAGGGAAAAGGAAGACAGGAAGGCTAGAGCAAAAGCATTTAAACCTCTATCGACCGTGCTCAATGCAGCAGATGGAGCATCGCTGATTGTCCTCTGCGGTGGCCAGAGTAACAGGAAATTGTTTGCTGCATAGTATTGCGTGGGCAGGATACTGTCAGATCGTCTAAACTTAACAGGAGAACGATTAGGGTATGCAACCCAAGCTTGGAGTCTAAAAACCTGACCGCAAGGCAGTAAGTTTGGCAGTGGACTACAAGGAGTCCATTTTAAGAAATAAGGTGCCACCTTAATTCCAACCCTCAACATGGAAGGCCAAGAGATTGAGTTTGTGTGGCCTCTAACCATTGAGCAACCTAATATCTGTGGATCTAAAGGTGCAAACAAACATCACCCAGTACAGCTGAATGGATCGCTGAAGCACGCAAACCAACGCATCACGGTAAAGCCTAGCCACATTGCGATGGCTTAACTCAACAACTGAACACATAACACAAGGTACCGTATCCGGATTGTATCTATGTTTTTTTCTCAGGGAATCACGTAAGAACTTGTTTGTATTAGAAACAGCCATTTCTATGGTATTTACACAGTCATTTGGACTAACACCGAGTAAGCAACGAGTATGTTTGACGTCTTGGTTACGGCACAGCACCGTTACTTCACGTACCAGGCTCCGATGGCTGGACCACGTGTTATGCATGCCAGTCTACCGACTCCCGTGATGTGTGTTGTTTGCGCACCGCGGATATGGATGGAAGAAGAGGTGGGGTGGCCAAGCGATGACTTGGTCGAGAGGAATGAAGGCCCTCACTTCGAAGCTGGCCTCAATTAGAGCGTCTGAGCTCCCTGGTTGGGGTTCGAAAGACAATGAACACGTTTGGCTGGATACACTTGTTGATATGGTTAAGAGCCGAGCTCAGTTGCGTTCGTGCTGTGAGTTTCTTTGTCCCAACCATCCTGCTTAGCCTCCCCCTCCAACCACGATCCCCTTATTTAACATTTTATAATTTTGCATAGGAAATTTCCCTTTTTGCTGCATAGTAGCTGGCAGATAGCTTGCCGGAACGATGCCCATCCGTTACCGGTAGCTCAGCTGGCTTGCACCTGTAGCATTTTATTCGTTTATTTTATTTTAGGTATTGCGGAACAGTAGCTGAGGCGTTTCCCAGCTCTAGCTAACGCGTATAATGATGATGGTGATGAGTCTTTTTGACTATCATGGCACTTGTACCATATGCTATTAGAGGCAAATCTGTCTTGACAAGGCGACAAACGACACATTTGCTGGATCTGGTTTCCAGTAAGGTACACCAATTTATGAACCAAAACTGTTTGAAAATTAAAGGAGGGAAAAAAAGTTACCTACATTCAGGATATATTTTTGCCTCCCCTCTATAACAAATTTGACGAAGATAGTAAGTTCACAGCAACCTGCTACTGCGGCAAATTAATCGGATTATAGAGTATATATAACAAAATGCTTTTCGGCCTGCTTCTTGTCAAATATTAAAAACATAGGTCTTACCTACCGATATTGCTTTCGTCTTGCAAAAATATGATAGTAGTAGCTTCTGTTGTGCAAGAACTTATAATTCGTTTTGTAAAACCCACTTTGCGGCTACATGTTACCAAGTGTGCTTTCAATTATGCCTATTCTTACACTAGACGTTAGACAAATTGTCCAGATTTGAAATGTGTCAAAAGATGCAACACAGTAAAAATAATCGGTTCTCAAACACAAAGGTACTTTGTGTGATGGGACTTATAGCTATTTATTTCTTTATTCATTAGCGACAATTATATAAAGTGTCATAATGTGGAAAGATTGCTCACCCGGTCATCCCCAGGCGCCTTTGTAGTTTTGGTTGAATATGAATAGCCAACGTTTGCAGGTGTTTCTAAATACAAAACATTGGCAACCTTGAATAAAGATAGTACATCTTCGTTAAACTCATACTGTCTTATCCTAACTATATGGTATGCTGGCATTGAAACCGCTTACCTTGTTCCATGAGTAAGGATTCCATTTGAGTCTTGATTCAGTCTTAGCCTAAATAACAGAAACTTCTTTTGAATATCTGCGTCTGTTTAGACATTTTATTGAATAGCGACTGGGTTATTTTTATTATTAATTCCATGCGAGGCTACATGGTACAGCAAAGAAAATATTTGATGGAAACAAAATAGTAGATCCTATTACTTCCAAGCATACCCCAGGACGATAGACGATCCTGCACTTGGTTACCTGATAGTTAGCATTTCCATAGGGTAAATAAGCAAAGTAAGCCAATCAGTTTCCGTTCATTCATTTAAGTAAACCATCCTTGATTTGATTCTGGGGCAGGACTTATAGGTAAATGAAATAGTGGAACATTTAAAACGTCTTCAAAAGTTTAGTTAAGTCGTTTAAGAATTACTGTGGAGCTGTGTATGTAATTAATCTACGAAGTGACCTCATTGTATTAATTTGAGCGGAGTACATGATAGCAGTATTTACTTATGAGGTATCTGTGGGCACATATATTAACAAGAATAGCGAGAATAGCTCTCTGTGGGTTAAGCCAGTTGGTAGAATTGACATGTATAAGGCTAAGTTAGGGAAGCTGCGTACACGAAAACTAGTTCTAATTGAAGCTAACAGCCAAACGCTATGTTCTAGTATATAAAATAAAAATTATAATTACGTCAGATCAGCTTCCAAAGACGAAATACGCTACCGCCTAACGAACGTTCTGTTTCTTGTATTGAAGTGCAAACATGTAAATTTCTATGCAGAGGCTAAAAATTACTCGGATACACTAAACCAAAATTATGGCACATTTCTCACATTAAAGGCGAACAGCACGATGGCTTATAGTTAGGTTGATTGTTACATCAGTGTTATGCTGCCAATATTCTCGCAGTGTGGCTAAAGCTCACAGTGAGCCACCAGCTCCTGGAGCGTGAGAAGTTGAAATTGAAAATGTGTTTCATAACCATAGCACAGAATAAACAGCCCAGATACATAGAGTGACATATATATAATGTATCATCTTTAAGCCCATAATGTGGTTGTGTGCGTGTAATTAGCAGCTAAAACGCGAACATAGGTTACCGAAAAGGGACCGTTTTCTGTAAACAATCCAAGTAGAGAAGAGCATCCTGGTCCACCATTCAGCCATAAGATTAGGGGCAATGAGGTTGAACGTTGCCGAGTCTCAATTAGCCAATAATGCAATTGTACATCTTCGTCTGAACCACACAAGTAACCAGAATATTGCTTAAATCTGGGTGTTGGGGTGAGACCGGGCAATTTTCGAACTTCATCATTGCTCAGATTGTCTACATGTTGGACCACAAAGGTAGATTTACAAACTCCTACTACAAGAACAATGAAAAAGAACAACCGCATCATCGCAATAATTGATGTGCTAATCGATTTAGAAAATAATCTGTTAATTTATAGTATTTGTAGATTCAAACAAAAGCGACAGAACAAATGCGATATTGTAACTAATAAAACTAACATTTACACAAGCCTAAATTTTAGTGTTTTAGGACTATTGTTCACCTTCAGTTATAATGCAACGTAATATTTGCACCTTTTCGTTGTAAGTGTTCCACCACCAGCGCGGTCGACTGCGGCAAGCGTTTAAATGTTTGCTGTGATACCGGGTAACGCGGAATACTTTTGTCCGCGAACGTTGGAATGTGCGCGCTAGATCAACAAACGGCTACATTTAACGTTAAATTGTTCAAACATGGATATTTCCATTATGGCAAGTATAAGAGCATACTTTTGTCGTACGCAGCAAAAAAAACATCCCGTTAAACCACATAAATCAAAAGATGCAGGGACAGTCGGTTGGTATTCCTTGTGCGCCACCATAGTTAATGAAGGCAAGGTAAGCAATATATAACGAGCATTAAATGATGGCAAACTGGTATGCGAATAAAGGTAGTAAGCAGTGTTGAGGAAGCTCATGTCTTGGTGCTCCACTCTACCCTAGAATAGCGTGCAAGAATGAGGTTGGAATGTGGAGATGCCTTCCTGTAGGGACTTAAGCTATACTACTGCTACCACCACTACTACTAACAATAATCATAAAATTTTAACGTTAAAGGACAATATTTCACAGTACACTTGCAGTGACATAGGTATCGGCGCTATTTTAGTAATGTAACTCCGGGATTTTGACAAAGGACGGTGCACCCAGGATTCGAACCCTGGCCGCCTGGTTGACAATCTTACACACTACGACTATTCCATATCTGGGCTATGCCTGCCGCTTATAAGTTTTCTGGAAAACCGCTCGTCAACGACAATCAAGGGTTTCAAAAAGCAAAGACATCCTCACGCCCTTTAAAGTTGACATAGGTTAGCAAAACTGCTTAACAAGATTCTAGCATTTATTGCGCCCGGTTTTAAATCATTTGGTCATTACAGGAGATAGCAGAATTGCCTACTACCTTGTAACGGTACCTCCGTTTCTTATCTACCTTAACTATAGCTGTTCCCTTGTTGGCGTTCGTTTATTTCCGGATACACTGAATTACCTCCGTCGCGGTCTCCACTTTATCCCCTTTCGGTTAAATCACTTGTACCCGACGGATGGTATTTCGTTCGGCGGTTAAACTTTGCCCACGCAACCTGCGTACTCGTGCGCACGTGCTGTGGTTGGCTTGCCTGTGCCGTTCCCACACTTGCTAGTGTACTTTAGCTCCCGGATTTCAGCTCTTGTACCTCTCCGCCCTCCCACGGTAGCCTTGGCATACTATAGCTGTTGTACTTCGGTATCTCTGACATCCTAATTCTCGCTCTAGCAGTTTGGTTATATTATGGTATATAGTGCTGGCTAGCCGAACAACCTCCTCGTGGTGCCAGCTGGGTGGTTCGGGTTTTTCCCGTTCCAGCAAATGGTTCGGCGGCAGTGTTCCAGGATGTGGTGTGATTTCGTCTGACAAGCGTTCTCCCTATAAAAAGCCAAAAGTATCCGTTTAACAACACTGTGACGTGGCGGACGTCACTCGTCACTAAATAAAGTCACTGCCTCTTCCCTTTTCCGGAGGACCATTTACACATCACGGACGTCATCTGATTCCAAGCGTTCCATTGTTTCCCCCTTTGATGGCGAACACAACGAACAAAAGCGCACACACATACAGTTACCTACTCACGCAACATGTCCCCTTCCAAATAGACAGTTACACATCGTTTTACATCTCAACACACACATAAATTCCCATGTTATTGGTCAAAATGTACTCATTTGTGCAATTGCTGATCATACATATCTGTAATACCATGACCACGCCCTTGATGGTGTGCCTCGCAGTGACGAGAATAAAATATTTATTTATTTATTTATTTATTTATAACAATGCATAACTGTGCAACGCTTAATACTTATTTCTAGGATTCGTTGGATTGAGCGAGAGCAAAAAGGATACCTTGTGTCAGCTCCATCAATTCCCATTCAAGGCAGGGATATCGCGGATCCGTGAGATACATCGCAGCGGAAACAATATGACCTTCCTTACTCAGCGGACAGGAGTCTAACAGCCGTCTAAACCCTTCCGCACTCTGGGCAGACGACTGGTTAATGTAAGTTATTCCAGTCCATTATCACACGCGTGCACTTAGTAACATCAGGATGGACTGGGTGACAACCCGGGTTAAGCGGCTACTAGGAGTGATTCCGTGTCGAACTGCTCATTCTTCTTGGAGAGAACGCCATTGGCACATTTTCCGTCATCCCCGCAAACTGAGCTTGGTGTAGATTAGATTCCCGGACGACGACGATAATCTACGGAAAAGATCTACATCGTTTGAAGTAGTTGCGGTCGGACAAATTCCAAACGGTAGATGGATTCCGACTTACGCCGTTGGACTATCTCAGGTTTGCAGAGGATAACCCGCAGACGAAACGTATTTGAGGATACAGCATTGGGGAAATAAAATGTCTTCTGGACGTATTTGATCATAGAGGAACGTGAACTCCTTGTGGCACTGAACCTCCTATTACTGCCCACTACCTTCGTCAAGGTGGCCAGGCTTGTGCGCAAATCAAAGAACACTACTGTACAAAGGTCTTGCTCACACGTAATATTCATGAGCAAGCAGCCACCGATGTGGTAAACACCAAAGAAATGCGTATTAACGATAGGAAGAACAGAGCACAGCATAATTAGTGGGCAAGTGCCAACCCAGAGCCCAGCCGTGCAGTTGATTTAGTGTCGCGTGCAAACACTTAGCATCTCCAAGATCGTACATCTCTATATACAGCCATATCATCATTACCACAGCATGCAAATCATTCGGAGCTCTGATAGAAGGGCATTGATATATGTTCAAAACAACTAAGGACTGAGGGGAAGGAATTTCTCAACTCTGCTGGTCATGAAAACAAGCACGGAAAATCTTGCAATAGAATAATCTCGCAACCTACGGCTACACAACATATTAACGTACCAAGAAAATCTTCCCGGACTGTAAAAGGTTTAGGGTGAAGCCGATTTCGTGGGATTATATAAAATACTTTCCCGACGTGAAAAGCTACTTCCAGGCGAGTACCAGAATCGAGCGATTTAGCCCAACTTTCTATGGTCAAAAGCAAACTGGAAGCACACGGGCGCGCTTACCGAAAGCCGTTGCGCAAGGAAAAGATGACTGTTGGCAAAAGTAATCAATCAAAGTCAATTCCAGTCCTCCCTGCAGATCTCCCTCAATGAATGTCTCATCCATATTCACAAGCCACTTATTTTGTCTGCCAAACTTTCAGTTGTCGCACCGCCAACATTATCACTCATTTCGTTAATTAATGCTATGTGCACCCGATTGTTAAATTGTAACTGTCCCACCCACAAACTACCTCAACTTATGTCTTATCCCGGTATCTGCGCCGAGTCAGTGGAAGCACGTTAAACACAGTCGCAATTCTGCTGACTCACTCTCAAGAGAAACATCCTCGCCAGTCCCCTTTGAAGGACTGGTTCCATGTGCCATATTTTTGTTAATCGATGGTGTTTGTCTCGAATTCCGCCTTAATTCCGATACAGAGCTTAATCGCTCAACCGCTGAGTTTCTCACAACTTCAAAGGAAAGATCAATGTCTACTCTGATACAAGGGCCTCAAGACTGGAGTAAGTTGTTAAGGACGATCATGTGGCTGTCCAGCTTCAAGCAGTACCTGAATGCTCGTAGGGTTGCAATCCCTGGAGCCCCGAAAATTACTCGCCTACTTACCCTGAAGAAACTACACAAGACCGAGTACAACGTCATTCGGTTCGCTCAGATAGAAGCTTATCCAGCGGAAACAACACGACCCGAAAAGTATCTGACCACTGCTTCTTTTAAGTAGTGTGCGCGGACTACTCCACTGGCTCGAATTCACCCAATACTGCGAGCTTGTTTGCTCAGTCTAAGTAGTCGATTGACCTTCTCGGAATACGATACTGCCTTCATTTTCAACTACAGTACCTACCAGGTACACGGTGACCGATATGCTGATCCACCTTAATCACTTGTTAGGTCACACGGGAGGTTTCTATGTTCCGGATGGCATACACTGCCACTTTTGGATAGTACGTGAAATGGTGACAGTGAATCAACTTATAGAACTTTGTTGGTCATGTAGTAAAGGACTCGCTACTGCCTGTCATCAGCTGTTGCCACCGTTTCCACAAGCGCGTGTGGAGTGGGGATGGCAACCCACCAAGCTTGTTGGCGTGGATTATTTTGGACTCTTTATTGTTGACCATGGGCCAAATAGGAGAAGCGGTACGGGTGCCTATTTACATGGATGCATGCACGACCAGTACACATCGAGCTCGCCCAAGCATTAAGGAATGACGCTTTTATCATGACCGTGAAGCGATTTACTTCCCGTTGAGGAACCCTGGCAGAAATACTCAGTGATAGTCGGGGCAACTTTGCGGTACCGCACTTATATTGCGTGAGGCCATGTAAAGCTGGTCGTGCACAAAGATGAATTATAAACCACTGAGCCCTGTTGTGCCGTGCCATACAGCCCACCGATAGCGAGTCATTAAACGTGGTGTTTGGGAGCGCATTATCAGTCCGTTAGGCGCATCCTGTTAGCTCTCGCTGGGCATCAGACGTTGAATTATGAGACACTGAGCACTCTTCTTATCGAAGCGGAGCGCTGTTATCAGTAAGCCACGGGTAAAGCCAACCTTTGACCCCAAATACCAGAAGGCACATGGACTTAACAAGTTGCGGATACCGCGATCCAACGCAACGCATATTTTAACGACATTGCCCAAAGAAGATAATCGGCGACAGGTGAACTCTCTGACTAGGTTGTTCCGGAAAAGGTGGCTCAGGGAGTACCTGCCGTTATTGCGATGGAGACAAAACTGCTTATACCAAAGACGACATGTTAGACAAGGTGAAGTTGTTTTGGTCACTTCGGTAGCGTGTTCTCTT